ATTCCTGCAATGTTTTTAGAGATATTTTTTCAGTTTCATCATAAGAATCTGTCACTTGGCATTAAAAACTGGATTATTTTTTTTTTATTCTCCAGCCTCTCCAGAATTCTTAGGGTGGAAATGAAACTACTGTCTAAAAATATTTCTATAGTAATTTTAATTTAAAGATTTATTTTTTTAAGATAATAATCTTATTAAAAATTCAGCTCCCCTGTATTCATTTATGATTTGCATTTAATTTTAATTCAATTTATCCAGGCCTCAAGATCCTTGAACAACCCATTACTGCCAGACTGAGGGTCTGCTATTTCAATGTACTTCATCATACTTCAAATTAAAATGTTCTAATGAAACTTTAAGAAAATCAACTTACCTTGCTGAGCCAAAGTGGATCTCAGCATTCCAGTTTTAGACCAGATTTTCACTTGGCCATCTTCCCCAACTGCAAAGTTATCACAGCAATAATCAACTTAAATGCAATAATAAATGTAACAAAGCAGCTGTATCTATCTAGGAAACACTAGAGTAAAAATTAGTCCAAGTCTTTTTGCAGGTTATGTAGCCTTCCTGCCATACAAATAGTGTATTAAGGAAAAAATACTTAAGATTGCTATTCTGCTCTTATCAACAAGTCTCTTCCTCTCCTGAAAATCCCCATAGTCTTCTTATCTGAAGCTGCTCCTGGGAAGAGAAAGCCCATCACTATTTAAGCATCCCAAGTTCTGTATTTTTGAGTCAGCACTGTTAGGACTTTTCATCTTGTTACAGCTCAACGACCCAGAGACTGATTAAATGAGTCTCTGAGGAGTTTGAAGAGAGTAGGAGCAGATTTTATGTATTAAACTGAAGGCTTCACAGTTGATAAATGGTGAACTGAAGATAAACTGTAGGCTCCATTCGGAAGGCTTAAACTGTGTGTTACCAAGAAAGTTTACTTACTAAGGATTAAGTTCTTATATATTATATAGCATAGCTGTATATACATTATTTCCTAGTGTGCTATCATATTTAAAATGTACAGCTCTGGGCCTTCATTAAAGCCTCCCAGACTCAATAAATGAGGAAAAAGTTGCACCTGGACACTTCATGCTGTTCTTCCATTAAAAATAATTTACTTAACAGATTTCAGATTTTATATTTGGTCAATGGAGCCTTTAAATGCTTACGAAGTTTAACCAAAACAATAATTTAAAAAAATTTTTGAACATTTGATACCATAAAGAATTATTTTATTGAGACAGTATCATAAATTATTCACCTTTCATTAAAGTATAGTTGGGGTGCCAGAGTAGTTGATGTTCTCAGAGTACACTGTTTGGATGTGGTGATGAATTCCCACACTCCCCATAAATGTCATGCAGTCTTTCAAAAAAAGGGGGAAAAAAAGTTTGAAAAGGCAATTTTGACTATTTCCTGAGGCAAATCTGTCTTTAAAAAGAACAGTATTTCTGTCCCTCTGGGATTTCAGAGGAACATGAAGCAGCATTTTAGAGTCAGACTGAGTCTGGAAACAAGCAGATCCAAAATTATCTTCAGTACTTCTGGACTGAGTTGGAATTTTTCCAAAGAAATCAGCTGTGCTAGATCAACAAGAGGCTGCAGAAAATCCTGACACCACCAGAAATCCCATCAAGGAGAAATATATCACAGGAAATTTAATTAGCTTCCCCCTTACCATTAAGATAGAAGCTTTTGACAAAAATGCCCAAAGCAACTAACTACTAAAAAATTTAGAACAAAAAGACATGTAGAGATGCAGACACTGGGAGATCATTCATTCTCCCAGCCTCAACAGAGTCAGACTGCAGCTGGATCTACAGCCCTCCTAGTAATTAAGAAAGAGAAACACAGGAACATTCGAGATGCTCATGAGGCCTCAGTCAACTTTGCTGGCTAAAATAACCCAAATGTCCTGTGCACAGATGGAAATGTATTGACTTTGAAACCTTTTATTTTGGTAAAAGACAAAAAAAAAATAATCAGATATTCTCCTTTATGAAGTATACAACATCCACAAAAACATCTAAGCATTTTGATATTAAGAACATTTACTTTCAAGTAAACAGGATAACATCTAAATAGGATTACTAAAGAGATACATGTTTTTACTAGGTTTTCTATTGATTAAAATAGACATCAGCCTTTTAAAACAGCATTAATCACATAGTGCAAAATTAACTTCTATTATAGGAGGTGATAATAACCCCAGTGACAATGAAGACACAAAAAAGTAACTTATTAGAGCTAACTTAATTTATATTGCTGACTTTGTGTTTCCATTTCTCCCCTTCTCATGAGAACTTCAAGCCAGACCAGTGTGTGAGCACTTTCTAGACTCAGTTTTACTCATTCAGGTTCAAGGTAACTACACTATAAACTATGAAACTTGGAATTACATCTTCTAAACATGTGGCAAGGGTCAAATTATTGTTCCGAAACACTCTGTTCTATTTATCCCATCCCATACTTGCACTCTACACATTTAATGGAAAGCACTTCTCGTAAATTTGGTTTAATATTATATTTTTGTACCCTTACCTTTCTTCATGGCATGTCAACTTGGGAGATTAAAAAATCCAGAGGTTTTGTTTGAAAGAGCTCTCCTGTTGTTTTAGTTTCCCAAACACTTGGTACCTGTAGGAGTGCTTACCTGTGACCAGTGCTGTTCCCTCGGAATTCCACCGTCCCGCCAGCACAGCCCCAGTGTGTGCTTCTATGCTTTTCTCCACTCTCCCTGATCTTGAAATCAAGTGGAACTTCCCTAAATAAAAGTTCAAGATAGAAACAGTGCCTCAGCTGTTGTGACTGGGTGGTTAGACTGTAACAGTACAGTCTGTTAAAAATAAACACAGAAAACACGAGGAAGAAACAACAACAAAAAACCCCAAAATATGCAATTATGGTGTTCACAACCAGGATTAGCCCAAACAAATAAGCTCTTGCAGAAGAACTACTTGTAAACTAGCTACAAAGTTGCTGTTCAATTTTCCTTTTGGAATGCATAATCTTTTTTTTTTCCTATTCAGTTTCCTTCTGTCCCTCTAACAGTTTGGAGGTCTCTCTGGGGACCCAACTGCCTGATGTTATTTCATGGTCTGGAAGCCACCAAACAGAGGTTTACACACTGCAGCCCAGGAGAGTCCTTTTGTTTTCTTTTGCAAGATCTGAAAAATCACTCAGCACCAGAAGGATAATGGAAAAGCTCAAACAATCTGAGCATGGGTGAGAGCCTTGCTCTGAGGAAGTATCACTGCCTGCATTATGGAGCTGTTATGGAAATTCACAGGAGCCAAAAACAAAGCTATTAATGATTTCAACAGAAGCATGAGGAAGTCTTGCTTTCCAAATGAGGGATGTTGCTTAAATCCAGGAAGATCAAATTTAAACTGGACCAAAGAGCAGACAAAGGAGGACTTGGAAACATGTGGCAGAACAAATGCACAGCCTAGAATAGTTCAGTGATTCCAATTAACTGCTTTCAAACCAAAACTCATTTAAAATTTTTGTATCTAATCTGCCAGAGAGTGAACCACCACAAGCAATTTCCAAAGTGACCACAACTCTTTGAGATACCAGGACACAGATTCCTCACATTTGTGTGTGCAAATGCTCCATCGCTAAAGATGGGATAATTTTTCCATTAATACACCCTGCTTGGGAATATATATTACAGACCAGACCATACCTAATATGCCAGACCAGAAGTACACCCAAAAAAACCCCAACAACAAAAAGCAAAGCCAGAGTAAAACCAAAGAGAAAGCATTCTGGTAGATCTGTCAGTAAATAACCATGAAAAATACATCAGGGCTCCCCAGAGTATTATTCAAATCAATACAATCACACTTTGTCTTAATTTTACTTCTAAGTACATCACCAAAGGCACCATCATCCAGCCCAAATCTCTGCCAAAGATTTCCAAGCAAAAGATTAACAATGAACAAAAATGGTTTGTGCAAATCAGATTATTAGAAGAGACCATTTAAAGTATAATACATAACTATATAATTTTGCTTATCTTTATCACTTATTTTCATATTTACTAGAATACTCTGAACAGTTGGCTAATCTCATTTTTTAATCACAGAACTAATATTATTACTAAGACCACTTCTTTCTTATTCAGTTAGTTTTTAGTTCCCTAAAATTTTCAGAACTGGTATTCTACCCGTAATGCATTATGTTCCTTTATAACTCTAAAATATATTTTATATAATTGATGTATTAGTAATTTTATAGAACATGTCTCAGGTCTGACTAATTTTTTTGTGGATAAGCGATCACTGGTTTCACAGGAATTCAATGGCTAAATGCTGTTTTCTCCAATGAAATGCTCAGAGTGGCCTTTTCTGGTTTTAAAGTAATACATTAAAAAACAGGGTTTATTTTCTGATCTCCTGTCTTTTTTGATGCATAGTGGACTTGTTCAATCTGCAGCCAAGACCTTTTTCATTGCAGAATTCTTAAGCCTGTTGGGACCACAGGACTGGGAATGTTCTCATGCCATCACCTAACTGATCCTTAAGTGGCCAAACTCTTCATTGCCATTATGAACATATGTCACTAGTTTCACTAATTGCAAAAAAACCCCAAACAGAACAAAACACCCCAAAGCTTTCCAAACTGGGAGTGAAATTAGACAGAGATCCTACTCCAAGGCAGCCATCAGCTCTCAGTATCCAAACTGAAATGTTCAGAATTACTTTTTTAGAGACACAAAGAATTCTGTGGTGCTGTATATATTGAAACAATGACTTCCACCAACCTAGGTAGAATCCATGAGATCTCAGTGCTTCTGTAAGCAAACCCCTCAATACATTAATAGAAAAAATAAATTAAAACAAAATAACTGACAGTTGGCAAGCAACTGAGTACTTCAGTTTAGCTCCATTATCAGGAAAACAATGGGCCATGTCTCAGAGTAGAGGATAAAATCCCATTTCACAGGGAAACATTCAATTTGTTTACCAGGCTTTTGCATCTCTTCCCACTCCACAGCCTCTTACTTTCTTTCACAAGGCACCTTTCAAACAGGGAAACAGAGCAAACTGTAGCCTCGCAGGAAAACATCAACTGCATATAAATGTGGGTACCTTGGGCACTAAGATGGAATTCATCTGGAAAAAATGTCATCAGGCAGTTTCAAACCTGTATGATAATACTTCTGCAGAACAGGGCGAAATCAAGTTTTCACGGGTATCATCTTTACTTCTGCAGCTTCTTTGCTTTTCCATCCCATGGGTTTGTAACTGTTGACAGTCAAATGCTGTGGCCCACTAGCCACTGCTCTTCTCATTGCATTCACACATGGAGGTTGCTCCAAAATCTGTTTTGATGGGTTCCTCTGCCTTCTGCTCTTCAATTTAACACTGCGGTAGCAGAGGCTTTCAAATTAGAACTTACTGCCTCATACACAACTAAGGGGAAATTTTATACGGATGCTTGGAGTAGATAGAAGTGATTCAACTTCATCTGACTTTACATCTCAGATTTGTAAATACTGCTCCTTTGTTTTTATAAAGTTCTGAAGCCAGAAGCTGCCCTCGATCTTCAAGTGACTCTGCAGTTTTGGAGGAATGTCAAGTGGGAGATTAGCAGGCTATTCAAATACAGAATATAAAACATGTATGTTTTGTCCATCACTTTTCAGGCTCTTAAATGCTGACCTAAGGTAAAATTATCAATAGCATTAAAAGTTACAAAAGCAGGTCTATTCCCTTGTGATTTGTGCTTAATAAGCAGTTTAAAGCTGAATATACATTTTTTTTATCTTTGTAAAAAATCAGCAACAAGATCAATGTAAATAGGAAGTAAAAGAACAATATCCCACAAGAGATGCAACTCAGAAGAAAACCCCAGAGGATTAAATTTACATTTACTCTAATTTCACAAACATCTGGAGTTCAACCAGGAATGAATGCAACCCTGTAAAGACATTATACTCCATTTCCATTGGATTCAGCAAATTTCCAGGAATCCTTATCACAGAGATGAATTGGCTGTTGCAGGAAAATTGCAGGCTTGACACGTAAGGCGAACTGTATGAGTTAAACAGATTATTTTAATATAAGGGTTTTAGAAAACAGCAATTAAGCATCTCAGCTTGTTCATGCACTTTTACACTGCAATAATTCACTTGCATACGCAAAAAAAAAAAAATCATCTTTGCAAGACATGTTGTCTTTATTGAAAGTCCTAAGTTACACCAGGAGGTAAGAACTCAGGTTTTTACATGCGAGTTTTTCCTCTCAATTTATTCTTTCACAGATAAGGTTAGCACTTTTGTGTATTTCAGTTTCACTGAAAATAAATAGATAAATAAATCAACAAACAAACTAAAAAAAGCCAACAAAACAAACTCAACACCAAAGCCCTATGATTTTTTGACACACAAATATCCTGAACAGTTTTCCAGAAACGGAATGTTCAGGATGGGTTCACCAATCAATGCTAAGAGCTTATCCCTCAGTCCTCACAACTGGTTAACTACATAAAATCCCTACAAGAGAAAAGATTAAGTACTAACTTGTTTTGTCATCTGTGAACTAATTATGGCAGAAATAACTCATTCTATAAGTAAGAGGAAACCAAACCAACTTGTGTGGCTGGACATAAGTCCAGTTTCTTAGGGAATAGAACTTCAAGGGAAAAAAGTTTCTAAGTCAGTTTCTCCATCTAGTTCTGTTTATGTTTTGGACTCTTTGAACATACAAACTGGGATTTACTCTGTTCACTTCAAGAGAAATTATATCCTATCTTCCTTCCACAATGTCATGTTATCTTCCTCCTGCAGAGTATCTACTGCTCTGTATCATCCTCAGAGCATCCAGTTTCAATAGCAAAGCTCAGTTCCACTTTGCACTGAGCTGTGTTGGCACAAGAGGAACATTCAGATGAAGGACAGGAATTGCAATAAAGGCCCCAGATGTCCAGAAGGAATGTAAGGGCTGAGTACAAACTCCACTCGCTGAACAATAGAAAATTATCTAACGACTGGACTGGCTTGAAGAACTAAAGGATGTGTCATCTTGGGAAAGGGAGAAGTTAGTGACCTGCAGACCTTGATCAGATAATACCTATCCCAGCTCCTTCATCCTTAAGATCATGAGCTTCAGGGATGTGCTGAGAACTGGACAATTTGTTAAAAGAAAAAACACATTTGTAAAAAGAAAAGAAACAAACAAAACAAAAACCCAAATGAAAAAAAAACGACCCACTGCAATAAAGTTGGCAAAGGAAGCCAAAACAGTTTATAATGCATGCGAGCAAGAAACAGCTGCATTAAAAGTGAAAGTTAATCAAGCTGATCTCCAAAAGCTGGACAATGCTGGAACTGATAAGACTCTCAAGCACGTATGAATTCTAGCAGAGATGTAACTATGTGATGATTTCCATGTCTCACACAATTTTTTTCTCATGCAGTAATCTTTTCTAAATGCTTTTTACTGATACAGAGGAGACACCACTTTTCCTGACCTTCCTCTCACTGTGTCTTGTAGCTGAAATCTTGGTATAGTCATTCCTAGAATCCTAGGATGGTAAATTTAGATTAGATTAAAAAAAAAAAAGTTTGGTAAAAGTTATAAGCAATTGAACGGAAAAGTGTCAGTCAACTGTCAATGCAATATTCAAGCAGAACATGAAATATTAACCTAGTATTTTAATGACACTGGAAAAGTGACTGAATAAATTGATAGATCTTACAACAGTTGCTCCTTTGCTTGCTATTTAAACATACAATTCAGAACTTTACAGAAACCGGCCAATAGAAACACAAATGTGGAAAGTGAGACAGAAAGTGGAGAAAAAGCATGGAATTAAGAGCAGCAGCTGACCTACCAGAACCCCTCCATCCCTTTATCATTGAAAGGAAAAGAACACAAGTCCCACAGAAATCAGCTTAGTTAATATTCATCACTGACTGGCATTCTGAAGAACATCTTTATTCAGGCAAACTCCATCCCCCCCAAAGCACAATACTATAATGCAGGCAAATATTAATTGTACAAATAAATCTTCCTTCCAGCTCTCACAAAAGCTTCCATTTCTACCTCCAAAGCTGTATCGGCAACACTTCATTAGACCCAGCTGCTTAAAATTCACAGTAAAATTCAGCACCAAGTACTGCAAAAATTGTGAAGCTACTTGGTCAAACTTCTCTCCTGATCTTCCCTCCCCACATATATCCTAGGAAGCCATGGGAGCCAACCTTCAAACACTGCCTAAAAGATGTCCTGTAAGTTCAGTGCATTTATTCCTTAGGAAGTCCTGAATACTTTGAAGAAACCTTGACCTCCACTCTCCACTCTCCTAATTTTTAAGTGCAACTATTGCCAAAAGTCAGAGAAATCACCAAAATGTCATGCAAGGGCTGAATTTCCTCTGCCTTCTTCACATCCATATGAATTCTCTCCATCAGTACAGAAAGCCATGTTGGATGTATCAGCTCCAGACTGCTAATGCCCAGCAACAAGCCTTCTGTTCCCAATCAAGCTCACTGTTAAGTTAGCCAAAAGCCTACAATAAACTGGATTACAGTAACTACTCTACTGGGTCATACAGTCTAGGATTTGTACACTAGTATCCAGGACAAATAGCAGCATTCTGGACATACATCTGTAGATATAAATCTGCCAGTATAGTGGATGTGTAGATAAGTCTTACATCTCTGACAACAGCCAGAGCTAGATGCTTCAGTGGGATATTTAAGACTCCATAGAAGCCAGATACAAGACATGCTCTTGTAATAAGTCCAAGAAATGGACTGCACTGATATTAAACATCGTGGTTAAGCAATTTTGGTAACTTGGCCATCAGTTTTCATAACTACAAATGCTCTGGTCTCTCAGCAGGCACACAGTGCAGACATATTTAAAGCTACTGGTTGATGAAATTGAAAAAAAGATGGTAGAAACTGACCTGACATAAAAAACATCATGTATACGCTGTAAGAAGTATGTTTGATAATGCTGTATTGGAGAATATTACAGTGATATAGTGTAGCAAATATAAAGCAATTAGTCTGACACCGGTGGAAATGATGCCTTGAAGTTGCTTTATTGCAGACCATTTAACTGCAAATTATTTCTTATGTATGTGAGTAACATGAGCACAACAGGGTATGAAATTGTAAATATTTAAATGGACTTACCATCAGAACTTGTTAGAACAAAGGTCTCAGCATGGGACTGCTTCTTCCCACCTATACTTCTGGGAAACCAGTGAAGATCTATGGGATAAATATCATCTGGAAGTTTCACTACTCGGGTTGTCTCACTAGTTAAAAGGTTCCATTTCATAATTTGGTGATCATCACTGCAGGAATATAGCTCGTCAGCAGTAGTCCATCCCACACAGCTAACTAATTCTTTATGTTTAATTAAATTAAGGAAGTCTGAAATTTTTAATTATTAAAAAGAAGCTTAGAAAATTTCTCATCTAGGTTATACAAAACTAGAAGGAACAGTACAGGAAGATTATTTTTATGAGATTCCATGGAATGTTTAAGAAATAATTTCTGGAAAAGAGTCTATTCAGAAGTAATATGGTGTTCTACAGTTCATTCTGAGACAAAGGATATGCTTTGGTTCCTTTAAGAGTGAAGTCTTCAGTCTCATTTCAGCTGTTCAGATGGAACACTAAAACAGATAGTAAGTATAACTGTAAGAAACCAAAACAAACACAGATGTACAAGCAGCCAAAATGAAAAAGGAAGACACTAACACCAAAATAAAAAGTTTTGAAGTAAGTAACATGGCACTAGTGCTGTGGAAAAACAAACACCAAACCAGACCTGAGTTTAAAGGGAATTCTGTTTGTATAGCAGTCAGCTGTATATTTATCTGGTTGCTTAGCATAAACACACCGGGCAACTCAAAGTGATGCTAGGAATATATTGATGAAAGAATTTCTATTTTTAAATAATTATATCTCCCATATTTGAATGTCGAATTTCCTTCTCCTATCCTTATCCAAAAAAAACGCTTAGGGAGCCTCATCATCAAGGCATTTAAAAGGGGCCTAATTTTGTACCAAACTTTGAAAGCAGCCTAGACATGTGCAGGGTGGGAATGCTGTTCTTCAGCACCTGCAGGTCTTGCTGATCAGTTGCAGGACTAGTTTCTGTGTCATGAGTTCTAAACCTAAATCGCCAAAGATAAACCCCAAGATCTGTATACAGAGACAGAACAGCACGGGGTAAACCAGTATTCATTCTGCACGGCAACGCAAGCCTCTCTCCCGCTTCACAGAATGCCTCCCGTGTATTCGGGTCTCATCTGCTCCTGTTTTCAGCGCACACCACACCTGGCTAAACCCACCTTTCCAGTGGCCGCTCGGCAGGTTGGAAGGGTTTATTTCTCACGCAGTTTCAGCAGGCACGTCGCTACCATCAGCTGCGTTCCCTCCCCGCTCCCGCTACACGGAGTTACCTTATTTCCCCTTCACAGACAAGACCAGAACTTTATTATATGAACTGTTGAAAAGGGCTCTTCTTGTGCACCTACACGGCAGAAGGCTCACCTGGATGTCACCTGCTGCCATCAACAGGCGCGTCCCTCACTGCCCACCCTAACACGCACCAGGTGAGCGGGAGCGTTCGCTGCGAGTTTTTAAAGAGCTGGGGCAATAACGAGGAATTAATTATTCCGGGACGAGGGGCTCGGCTCCCCCCGGCTCCCGCAGCCTCACACCGCACCCCAACACCTCCTCGCCCGCGTCCGCAGCTGCAGATCCGACACGGATTGATTGAGCAGG